GCGCCTTGGAGGGCTTGGTCTGGAGGCCGAGGGCGGCGAAGAACTCGGCCACGGCGTTGTGGGCGGACTCGGCGGTGTGGTTGTCCTCGGCGCCATTGAAGTCGTCGACAAAGTGGCCCAGGAGAACCAGGAGGAACGCCCGCATGAGCATCTGGACGGCGTCGGCTGCCCTTGAAGTTCCAGACGCTCGCCGCCGCGCCAAAGCACATGTGGCGTAGTGGAACCAGAGCGTGACGCCCTGCATGGTCGGTGGGCAGGAACGTCCCACAGTGCCCGGGGCACCGCACCGCCCACTGGCGGTAGGCGTTCTGAAGGTCATGACCGAAGACGGCCACCGACCGACGCCCTGTCCGCGAGGCCCCAAGGCGCGCTGCTCCGCCATCTCCCGCTCGATGCTGGTGGCCAAGGCGGTGTCGTAGTCGGCGTCCGGGGGAAGTTGGCGGCCCGGCTCCTGGCCGCCTGCTCCCGAAGGTGCTCCTGCCGATGATGGTCGTCCTCCTGCCCCTGGAGCTCGGGCGGAGCGGGCACCGGCGTTGGCCCGCGAACCATAGATAGGAGCAGGCGGCCCCGGCAAGGCGGGCTCCATGAAGGGCGGCGGAGGAGCCTTGGTCGCCGCCGTCGGCTCCAGCTCGTCGAGATAGATGGTCAGGGCGTCCCAGTCGAAGTCGGGCGCTGGCGGCACCGGGGCGGCCTTAGGAGACGCCTTGGCTGTGGTCCCAAAACCGGCGGGCCTCCGGCGGGGAGGGACCGGGGTCCGTCATCGGCTGGACCGCCCCGGGCCCAGGCGAAGATGCCGAAGACGCCGGAGTCGATGAAGTGCCCGGGTCGCCGCCAGCCGCGGTATCCTCGTCGGGCGTGGCATCCGCTTCCGCCATGGCCGCCCTCAAATTGGCGGAGTCCTCCGGCGAGAGCGCCCTGATGGCGGCGGCCAGGCGCGTGACAGACAGCCCGGAGACAAATGACCTGATGAAATGGGCGTCGTGTCTGCACGCCCCGGGCGTGGCCGCCAGCCGGGGGGGGCGGACCAGTCGGTGCCGGGCTGTCGTCGAGGTCCAAGCCCAGCAAGTCGACGGAATCGGCCCCGTGGCCCCCACCCGGCGCCAAAGCCTCGGCGGGCAAAGTGCCCGGGGAGGCGGACGCCCCAACCGGCGTCGGCTCGAGCCCGTCGAGCGTATCCAAGTCCAGACCACCAGGCGTAGATGTAATAGACGCCGAGGTCGGGCCCTCGACCAGATCCACGCCCGGCGCTGCATCCAGGCCAGCCGCCCCAAAAGGCGACGCAGAGGCGGCGGCAGCAGCCGGCGCGGACGTGGATCCGGACGTCGTCATGTCCCGACGAGAGGCGGAGAGGACAGGATACACAATTCGAAAAGACGGGCGAGCCGATACAGCTGATCGGCCGCCCGCTTACGCTTGTTCCTACACACACACACACGTGTGTTACACAACAAGCGTCGTGCTAAACGGCGTTAGCCCTTTTTGGTCGAAGCGCAGAGAATGCGCCCGGCCAGGCGCACCGTCCCAAAAACCGGTGCCGGTGCCGGGGTGCGCACTCCTGCGCCCGCCCGGCGCACCCACGCCCCGCCTGGCGCCGGCACCTACCACATAGCTAAATCAAGCAGCCTCTCAGGAGCGGCGTTNNCTTGTTCCTACACACACACGTGTGTTACACAACAACAATTTCTCAATTTCTCTGCACTGTTGCTAGCAAAGCTTAAACCCTGGAAGGAGATGTCGGCGGGAAATCCGAAACCCACAAACCTCAAAAGGAGATATAGCTTGACAAATCCCAAATCCTAAGATTATGCTCCCCAAGCCTTAGACAGCGGACTGCCAAAAAAAAACTGCTGCTGCTCATGCTACTGCTGCCGCGCAGTTGCTGCTCCTGCTGCCACTGCCACTGCCACTGCTGCTGCATGCTGCTGCCACTGCTCCTGCTCCTGCTGCTGCTACTCCATCGGCTACCTGTACTCCGACAGTAGCAGTGCTAGTTCTCGTGGTATTGCTACTGTTGCTGCTGCTGCTGCCGCTCCTGCTACTGCTGCTGCCACTGGTACCGTCTACATCAACTGCTTCCACTGTCATTCCTACTGCTCCGCAACTGCTAACGGTCAGAAGAAGAGGCGGGCGGCGACCGCCCCCATGCTAGCTCCGGCTGCTGAAGTACTGTCGCGTGTAAGGCTTGTTCACGGAGGGTATACGGGGCTTGCAGCGATCCCAAAGGAATGTTGACATGGATCCTAGGAGCTTCTCCTTCAAACAACCTGCCAAAAATGACAGTTTGCAAATGCAAAATGTTCTGTAGAAGTGGTCCGAAGAGGCTGGCGATGGGAAGCCTCGGACTTGAACATGACGGGACATATATGGTTTCGGATCCTAAAGCTGGCGATCCTCGATCCGTCGCCAACATTGGATGGAAATTAGGTCGCTCCACTTCTGCTTTTCTGCTTTACATTCGAATGCGGATGGATAAGGCTAGGATCTCGCAACTCTCGTGCCATCTTCACGGGAGAGGCATGCGAACAAATCTGCATGCCTCAGGTTCTCAGGCACGCAGGCTGATGGTTCTGCTGAGTCAGGTCAAGCTTTAGACGCCATCCCTGTGAGCGCACACGGTGCATTTGCACGACCAGTGCGGCTCAACGACGCAACAAAGATGGAGTTGTGATTGGAGCCACATGCGCACACTTGCTTGACAGCGCAGCGACGGGTTCGCGGGGCCAAAACCCCCCTTTGCTTTTGGACATAACAATCTCCCGACAGCCTTGGTAGCACACGCCTGTTCTGGATTTCACGTACTGATCAGCCAGTTGCACGTCATCAAGGGTGCGTCTCTTACTCAAGGACACGCTTTGTCCGTTCCAAGGCTTCTGCAGCCTTTGTTTCCTTTGACTGGACTGCTACGAAACACACACACACACACACTCACACCTCTCCGCCTGTGGCACACCGTGTCACGGACCCAGGACCTCACTTACGTGATTTTCGACGAGAAGATGGCCTGTATCCGCTTTGTGTCGATCTCGGCCTCTTCGTTCCAGCTTTGGCGGTCGGTGTAGTAAACCTGGAGAGAATCGAACTCGACAACTACAACACCTTTGGCCTGACTTTGCCCCGACACCCGGAGATCCTAGGGCACTGGCAAATTCACGCTCGGGCTGGACCGTTTCGGGGTCCGCACTCCATGCACCTGCCAGAACGGATTTCTATCGCGTATGGCAACATGATGTTTGTAAGCTGGTAACCAGTCACTAACAGAAATTTGCATCACCGAAGATGGCAGAGTTCTTCTGAAGTGCCAGCTCTCTGTCTATGCCGTCGTCCGGTCCGTCCGCATGCGGGTGGTCTTGACATTCAATGTATGTCGCCCAGACTGAGAGCGAACAAGTCCCAGGCACAAGCTGGTCGAATATTCCATAAATTCCATACCATGCATGTCTCAGACCTGAAGCTGCCACGCGCCGGCGGCTTCGGCGCCCACGACCGGATCCTAGCTGCTGCATCCATTCTACGCGGCTTCACCGAAATCAAAAGCAGAACGAGAGAGACAGTACTACTGCATGGCTAATCGTTGGCTCACTTTCGAACTCCCGTGATCAACGGTCTGAGGTTTCGCCACTAACCTTCGCCTTAGCATGCATGAGGTCGCGACCTGAGGTATCCGGTTGTCCTTCTTCCGCTGCCTTGCCAGGAGGTCACAGTCGTGTGCACGCCGTCGCTTCAAGACTAACAGCTTGACACTTGGGTCCGTGAAGAACAGAAGCCTGCAGAGCGTGGAAACCCGTTAGCTCACGTCGACTGCGGCAGCGGCCCTTTGCGAGCAAATGCGGCCCGAGCAACTGAGTCCTAGAAACACAGCAGTGCCGCAGTGCGGCTGAGGCAAACCCCCAGGCAAGTGCCTTGTCATCGTCTCCGCTCGGCTGCAGCACCTGGAACCGTGAAGCCTCAAGGAACGTGGACGTGAAGACAACAATCAGTTGGAGGTTATCAGATCTGTAGTCACGGCCACCTGCAAGTCTATCTGAAACTTGGGGCAATGACTTCTGCACACACACACACACACCGAAGAGAGTGCAATGCCCATCGGCAGAGAAACTGCCCTGATTTTTTCACAGCTTCATGGCATAACGCCGGTCTTCCGCCAGAGGCCTCGTTACCTGACAGAGCAAACTTGCACGCACTCGGTGCCATGCACGGCTGGGCGTCAGAAGCTATCTGCACGCTTTGAGTTTGCCCGCAGTCTCGGATGCTTTCCGTGCCTTGGCCAAGAGATTCTCCACATCGCTGCCGTGAGCAGCCAAAGCGAACGGGGACATCGAGTAGTTGTTGTGAAGCTCAGGGTCCGCCCTGCGAAGACGTAAACAGTCGCTTGAAAACTTCAAAGCATTCGAAACTTCCTCAGACAGGCCTACACACAATGGCGAGCACCGCTTTCCAGAGGCGTCAAAGGTTGCTCAATGCACAAAACAGAAACAGGCCACAGATCGCGTTTTGCTGCTATTTACGTGCGGTCGAGCAAGTGCATCAAGGTTCCCACGTGTTCGTAACACCAGCGCCTGCTGTCCAGGAGCAGTTGCACAACCTGATCGTCAACGTGCTGACCACAGTGCACCAGATGTGTCTCTGGCTGCAGCCCAACGAACCTTCTGTGCAAAGTCCAGTCGCCTCCAAATGTCCCCACTCGGCCGCAAGGTGAAGTGCGGCATTGCCGTCTTTCGGACGCCGCCAGTTCACGTCCTCATTCATTTCTACCACTACTAGTCGTAGCGGAAGTGGTGGTAGTAGTGGCAGCAGTAGTAGCCGTAGTAGTCGTAGAAGTAGTCATAGTAGTAGTAGTAGTGGTAGTAGTCGTAGTAGCAGTCGTCGTCATAGCAATAGTAGTAGTAGTAGTAGTAGTAGTAGTAGTAGTAGCAGTAGCAGCAGCAGCACTAGCAGTAGCAGCAGTAGCAGCAGCAGCAGCAGTAGTAGTCGTCGTACTAGTAGTAGTAGTAGTAGTAGTAGTAGTAGTAGTAGTAGTAGTGGGAGTAGGAGTAGGAGTAGGAGTAGGAGTAGGAGTAGGAGTAGGAGTAGGAGTAGGAGTAGGAGTAGGAGTAG